CTACCAAGCAGAAAATTATGAAATACGAACACAATAATATAATCCTTTGCTTGATGCAAGATATTATTGCCGGCTTTTCAAATTTCGCCTGGTTGGCAGAATAAAGTAATCGGAAAGTAGTACATCATATTTTTAAAAGCCTGGTTTTCGCAATGATCTCATTATTTGAACTAGCCTGATTTCAATTGAAATATTGTGCAATAATCCACGAGAAATCCATGCTTCACGGAAATCAGACACACGTTTTACTTCTCTAAAGGGGAAAGAAAATGACCTGATGAATTGGATTTTCCAGAGATCAAATTTTGAAGGAAATTCGTGCGATATTTCGCTGGATCCTGACTCATTTTACCATAAATAATATTCACTGATGGAATAACCATGATTAAATGTCATGAGTATATATTTGGGATGTACAGTGAGACCCCAATATGCGGACACCCCGACATACGGCCAATTTGACTTGGGGACACTTCAAAACCAAAAAAAATCAGCCCCAACATCTGGACATTGGCTCCAGTTATGGACACTCTTCTGAAAATTCCCCCAAAAATTGAAGCATTTTCTTTTTAAATTTTTTTTATCTTTTGAAGAAACCAAGCTATTTATATATATTTTTTTAATTTTAAATTATTTCATGATAAATTCACGCTAATTCATAATCAAAAGAAAGCTGATTTTGTGCTTCTTTTTTTCGTTTTTCTATCTATCTATCATCTGTGTGTAATCCAGAAAAACTTATTTGTTTTCTTTGCTTTTTGATCGCCTTTTGAAACCAAAGGATAAGATTCTATTGGTTTTTTCTGCACTGTTGTTTTCCACAAGTTGAAGTTGAGGGAAAACAATTTTATTATGTTTTTTGAGTACTTATTTCTAATTTTTGAGAGAAAAAAGTGAACCAATTAAATGCATCCGCATTGAAGTCTAAGGGAAAATGAGACTCAACTTGGGGACATTCCAACATCAGGACACTCTTGATGCACCAATTACGTCCGCATCTCGGGGCCTCACTGTTTATGTCGATACTGAATTATCCGGACAGGTTGTATTATATTGAAGGGAGGGATAAACTTTCAAGATTGCTTCAAGTCACCGCCGGATGATTTACGGGAATCTCATTTCGAAAGCAGTCAGATCACCCCTTTTCCAATCCCCGCGTTATTCACGACCTTCATTTGAAGAATGCGTAAATGTATAGCCATGATATATTTTTATCTGGATTAACCCAGCCCCACAACAAAACAACAATCATGCAGAATATAATTTACTGTATTCAAAATTCAGTACGTATAGACTGCTGGGGAATTCTTATCCAGCGTGTGCCAGGGACTGGAAAAAAAAGTAGAAAAGAATAATGATCATCATCCACGGGATGGAACCCATGGGCATAAATTTGCGAGCGAATAAAAACCTGGGGGCATGTTGCGTTTGTGCGTCGGTCCTTCTTTTTGGGGGTTCGGAAGAAATTTTGTTTTGAAAAAAGCAAGAAAGAAGAAGAAAAAAAAAGAAGCAAACAACAACAAGAAGAAAATATATTCGGCGCGCACGAGGACTGATGCTGCATGCGCAATGATCGGCAGAACGGGTCTTGTGGGTTGATGGGTTTAGTGCGTGCCCTGCTTGCGGGTTCCACAGGCATCTTATGGCAATGATCAGTTCCATCTTGTTGGAGTTTTTTCTCTTTTCTTGCTTTCTTGTTTCTCGCTTGTATATCCGCCTCTGAGGCTTTGTTTTCATTTTTTTTTGTCAAAAGGAAACCCGTCTATATACCCCTGAAGGAATTCAAGAACCACTTGCGGACAGTTGTTGTGCACGTGAAGCGGGTCAAACAAAATAATTTAAAGGTGGATCACATAAAATGAAACGAATACATTAGAATTTTGTTACAACAAAGCGTTTGAAACCTGGAAGAAATATTAATTATACGGTAAAAATGCGTAGTAACGAAATTGGAATGACATTGAGGCTATTCTTCAAGGGCCTAAAATATTGTTGTAAGCGATAATTTGCTTCAATTCAATTTTAAAAACATGATTCCTCCGCATTATTTCGAAGGAATGATCAGGTTTTTCACACCAAGGAAGCGTTTACGGTAATTATGCATACCTGTAGAGTATATATAGACGAATTCGAATTAATGAAAATGATCAAGACCTCCTTCAAAATCTCTCTCTCTCATCATGTGTAATTTGACTTTCAACAGTGTTCCCTCAAGGCAAACAATTCTGGAAAAAGATGGGAGCTTGAAACCTTCAACTTTACAGATCTTCTAAATTTTGATACAATTTCAATTAACAAGATCAGGCGAACCAAGTATTGAGTGCGTTTTTTCTACCACTCAACATTCTATAATGTCTAAATCAATAACGTGAAAAATGTTTCAATATTTGAATTGACATTTTCTTTCAAATTTAAAAAAAGCAAAAAATTTACTTATGGCGTTCTTTTTTATGTCCTGGGCTGCTGAGTGAAATTTTGTAAAAAATAATGTTTTAATCCAACAATTTCTGCTAAAAGAGCGAACTCTGTTTCTCAATTATTTCATGTGGGAGAAAAACTTCGGAAGATTCAAGGTTCCAATCAAAATATAATTTACTGAACTCGAAATTCAGTACTTACGGTATTCTCTTTTTCCTTTCGTATCGCTTAGAAATATTTTTAAATTTTCTTGAAGTACCGTGTTTGTAAGTTTTGGACAGGGTCAGTATAGCAGCAGGCGTTAGACGAAGGAAATGCGATGTCCCCTGAAATTCAACAATAGCAAAAGAAATGCGATGAACTTTTTCCTCGCTTAATGAGAGGATGTTTCTCAGCTGAGATACAAGAAATACTCGAGTTCTGACACCAGTAATCAGCTGCGGACTTAACAAGGCCAAAGACGCGTGTGGACTTCGAGAATAATTTTCGGATTATTCACCCTCCGGGTTTCTTTGCCTGCTGATGCTGGAATAAGAAAGGGTTAATTCAGACGATAATATATTTACAGTATTTATTAAATCTTGAAGAAAGAATTCCTGGAGTACAACTTTAGGTAAAAGTTAACTGAGCAAGCAGACGAAATTCGCAACGAAAAAATTCTGTCCGTGTGAGAGTCATCTGCCAAAAAAATAAATGAAAAATTTGGAATTACGCCGGATTCGACGTCCGTTCAGCCTGCTTTTCATAATCCGCGAACAGGATTTTCCTTGGCCTTCTGATGTCAGCGTACTAATTCAAAATTCCCCTTTGTTTCGAATATATTTAAAAAATGGAGTCATGGCTTAAAGCTTTTGCAAAAATGAGACTATATCCTGTGACGCACTCCAAATCCAGAGGCCATCTGTGGGGGACAGAGGTCGCCAGCCTCGCAAAAGTACGAAATCCACGTTGGAATTCCAGCGGGGAATTCCAACGTGGACCAGTTTGATGCAACCTCCATTTTCTCTTTTCTTATTTCTATACAGTCTCTGTTTACTTCGCGAACAGTAAGCATCGATTTTCAACTTGTGATTTCGAAATATATTTGCTACATTTTTCCTTTTGGAGCTCTTACCAAGGAGCTCCCTGCCGTGTTCCCTGGCGGTGTTCGTGTTTCATTTTTTCATCATTCATTTTATCCTTTCTCATTTTTTCGACCTAACTTGCATTCTTTGTGGCCTGTGCGCCACAAAAGTGGTAGCAGAGCGTTTTAAAGTAATCGATCCCCCAATAATACATATAACAACTAAAAGTAGTTCAAACTAAAAAATCCCTAAATAAAAAGATCGAAATACGTAAAGCAAAGAAAAGCAAGTGAAAAGCCTTAAAGAAAAAATATAAAGATAACTGGAAACAAGCATTAGCTAGTAAAGAGAAAAAAGTGCCATACTTGAAGCGCGAAAAAGCAAGTCGCATCAGTTCGTACATCAAAGGAAAGCCAGTGTCAAGTCTCATCTACGACGTCAACCAACGAAATGGGTCGTCCGAAGCGTCAAGCAGTAAGCAGGGGGGCTCCAGAGCCCCCAACCGTGAGTCAAGATTCGATCGAAAATCCACCTAGTAATTCAGTTGAAATCGTTGAAAATGATGAACAAGTTCCGAATAACGAATCAAACGAAAACCAAGAAAACGCGCAAAATCAGAGCGAAATACAAAATAACGATTCGGAACAAGAACCAATGGAAATAGAACCAATCGAAATACACAATGAACACATTCAAGAATATCACCGAAGCGTCAAGCAGTAAGCAGGGGGGCTCCAGAGCCCCCAACCGTGAGTCAAGATTCGATCGAAAATCCACCCAGTAATTCCGTTGAAATCGTTGAAAATGATGAACAAGTTCCGAATAACGAATCAAACGAAAATCCAGAAAACGTACAAAATCAGAGCGAAATACAAAATAACGATTCAGAACAAGAACCAATGGAAGTAGAACCAATTGAAATACACAATGAACACATTCAAGAATATCATAGCGCTATACCAACAATAAACATAAAACACATACTAGTATCATTACTAATACGTATTGTTCAAAACATCAAACAAGCCGATAGGGCAATTCAAGTGCAAAACGAACCAAATAAAACAAACACATTCGAAAACATCCAAAAGAATTTGTCTGAAGTAACATACTAGTATCATTACTAATACGTATTGTTCAAAACATCAAACAAGCCGACAGGGCAATTCAAGTGCAAAACGAACCAAATAAAACAAACACATTCGAAAACATCCAAAAGAATTTGTCTGAAGTTCTAACTATGTTAATTACAACTGATAAATATACACTGGAAGTAACTTCTCAACAAAATATCGAACTACTACAAGATGAAATCACTAATATAGTTGTTGCACCCATAGAAGAACTAATCGAAAATTGGATAAATTATCGCCCAACTCTCAATACAATTCTAGGTGTGAAAATACCACCATTCCAATCAATACAAGCAGCAAATAACACCTTACAAAACAAAATGTTCGAAAGTGGATGCATCCCACAGAATCAAAACACCACCTTACCAAGTGTACACCCATTCCCTCACAATTCAACACATTTAGCACCCATGAAAGACCAACCTACAATATCACAAACAAAATCAAACAAACTCAAATACCTTGGTGTAGATACCGAAGAAAACAAGAACCCTTTAAAAGAAGAAATCAAAAGATACGGAACAGGAAGTGAACTAGATTTTCAGGGTCAAAATTCAACAGCATTTATAAAAAATTACTCAAAAACGTTACAACAATCATTCGTACAATTCTGTGGTACACCGGAGGAAGAACAATCATTTGAAAGGGTTTGGACTAACTTTCGTCCTATACATGAAGCACCCAAAAATCAATTAAAACCTCGGGAAAGAATAGACATATTCTTAATGCATCTTGATGGGCAAGCAAAAAAGAATTATATTCAATATCAAGGAAGAACCTCAGAGAACGATTATTTAGGAATGCTACAAACAGCACTCGATGAATACGGTAACGTAACGAAATTAAAGAAACAACTAATCAAAGAACTAGAACAACTACCAGTTCCAAACGGGTCATTTGAACAAGCGGCAGAATACATGAGAGAAGTACTAAAAATAGTAATTAGTCTGAATAACTTGACAACTGATCGAAAACACACACATAGAAAAGTATGGCCATCTATACTAGAGCATTTGAGCCAGGACACATTCATGGAAACCGTTAAAAATTCAATGAAAAATGATTCGGAATTAACGCAAGAAGTATTAGACACTTGGGAAGAGGACCCAGAACTAAGATATAGGTGGCTATTAAGTTTCTTTTCAGACAATGCACGAAGACGCGACCCCGAATATACACAAAAACTTCTCTCATTTAGAGCAGGAGAAAAAACACAACCATCACATACAACAAATCAAACGGAATTAACATCCAGCAACACAAGTAATCTAAATACAAATAACACAAGCCTAAATGAAATACCAAGTACAAGCAACATGAACCCAAGTAATCAAAATTTTCAAACAAATCAACCAGCATACCGAAACAATTCAAAACCAAACTACACAACGAATCCAAATAGACGGTTTACATGTATATATTGTAAAGAACACCATTCAATATTTTACTGTCCAAAAACACATGAGGAGAAACGAAAAGCCGTTAATCAGGAAAGATTATGTCTAAATTGTCTACGTAGTGGACACGCTGTAGCACAATGTAGAATCCCAACAAACTGTAAAAAATGCAATGCTCGACATCACACAACGTTATGCAAATTTTATGTCAGTGAACCACCACCAGTAAATCAAAGTGTAACTCAATTCCGCAACCAATCGCCAAATCAAGGGACATTCAATTTTCGGAAGTTTAACAACAATAGAAATGATAGAAATCCTGTGCAACAGAATGAAACAACAGGAGTAGATCAAGCCCTTCAAGAAATGAGGAATATGTGGGTACAAGCTCAGAGTATTGCACAATTTCAAAACATGTTTGCATTACCACTTCAACAGCAATTATTAACAACCCTAAATCAACAGAGAAATGTACCGAACGAACCACAGCAAGCAATTCCACAACAAGCAATTCCACTCCCAGCAATACAACCACCAGCAATACAGCCAGCCATAGAGTTACCAAATGAAGAAGCAAACAATAACAACGAAAATCGAGCAAACTTATGACTAGATGTAGTAAGGGTAGAAGTATACTCTAGCACTTCAAGTATAGCACTAACGTTTCTGGAAACTGCCGAACTTTTACATCATCCAACAAACAGAAAAATATATGCGCTGTTAGATTCAGGAGCACAAGTTAATTTAATTTCAAACCAACTGGTAGAAACACTTGGCTTACAGAAAAAGAAATCACGAAGAACATTTGAAATTATAGGAGTCAACAATTCGGGTAACAGTATGCACTCATAGATTCAGGAGCACAAGTTAATTTAATTTCAAACCAACTGGTAGAAACACTTGGTTTACAGAAAAAGAAAACACGAAGAACATTTGAAATCATAGGAGTCAACAATTCGGGTAATAGTATGCACTCAACAGAAATAGTTACACTACAAATGAAATCAAAATTAAATTCGGATTTTACAATAACTACAGATGCAATCATAGCCCCAATAAAATCATCATGGACAGGAAACATATCAAGAAAAAACAATGGCGGATTCGAGAATCATACACACAAATCACATATCCTTTGATCTCATCCTGGGGGGCAAAGAACTCATTGACATATTCAATACTCCATCACGAGAGTCATATCGTACTGAGAATTTTCAACTACTCAACTCGAATTTAGGAACCGTACCACGAGGCATATACGCAACTACATACAAAGCACCAAAAAGAAATCGATTTCATACATTTCTTTACAATACAGCAGAAAATATAGAAGATGAAGTGCTCAATGCAAAGATATTGCGACACATGGAACAAGATGCACTACTGTTTTTAGGAGAAAGAGAAATCACACTAAGCGACAAACAGTATGTAGATGAATACATGACAAAAATAGAAGTGATTGATGGACGAGTAACAGCACCTTTGCCGAAAAGGCATAATTTTTCAGAAATTTGGAATCCAAACTTAAAAATGGGCGAGCAAAGAAGCAGATCTGTAATAAAATTACTTGAACGAGGAGGAAGACTCGCTGAGGAATACAAAAAATTCATTCAAGATTGGAAAGACACAAATGTAATAACACCAGTAACGCTTGACGAATTACAAGCTAGAAATACACCCTATACGGAACTCCCGCACCACGGTGTAGAAAGACCGCACAGTGCTTCAACACCTCTACGAGTAGTCATAGCCGGTAATGCCGCAGACATTGGTAGAGCATCATGTAATGATTTACTAGAGACAGGACCGAAAATATTACCTGATCTCATCGATATACTTATACGTTTACGCTTCGCAAAACATTTCGGAATTGCAGATATAAAGAAAGCATTCGTACAAGTACAACTCAAAGAAGAGGATCAGTGGCTACTAATAACAAGATGGCCTGAAAAACAAAGTAATGGGTCATATATACCAAGATTCTTTCGTTTCTTAAGACTACCATGGGGAATCAATTGTGCCCC